TTCGCGCGCACCCGGCCAAAAACGGATTACCAACGAGTCTTCTCCTCAGGGGCTGGGTGCCTATGTCTGCATGGAGGCTGGGCACCTAAATCCTACTCGGTTACCCTACGCGGAACAACAAACCAAGGAGGAAAACACCGAAGTTCCAATAACAGCCCACCTCCACGGCACAATGGGCACAGGAATTACAATGGAAATACAAACTTTCATTAAGCTAAAAACACAAGTCCCTAGCTTTTACAATATCACGTAAAGCGTGTGAGAATAGCCCCTTCACGGCTTCACAGAAGTCCCAAAGGGGCTCGGGGGCTCCTATCGGGTTCATAAACCCAGGGTCCCCAATAGACCTGCTTTCCAACAAAACTCGGCCCAGCAGGCGGCGCAGCGACAACACGTGCCTAGGCCGGCCCAGATACACAATGATAGGCCAAGACCACGATCCGATCCCCGACCGGCACCTCCGACCAGGAGATCTGATCGAAGGTGCGACCAGAAGGCCTGGCTGTGGTGGGACCGCAGTCCGACTCCGACCCCCTTTCTCTGACCAAGAATACAACAGGACCTCTGCTCGCTACTCTTTCCCGACCGACACGGTCGGGGCCGATTGGGAACGACCGACCGGGGACGCCCACGCGGTGTGGGCCCGGCGAGCAGGCAGAGCAGATAAGGTAAGGCGCTCAAGTCCACCACAATACCGAGGACCGTACCCTGCCATGCCCTGCGCACCTGTAGGACGGTGCCATCGGGGCATGTTAGGCGAACATGGTAGAACCTGCCAGACGTGTCAGAGCATAAACAATATTGTGGGCGCCGTTGTTTGCCGTACTAGGCGAACACGGTAGAGCCTGCCAAACACGTATGAGCTTAAACAGAATTGTGGGCGCCATCGTTTGTCGTACCAGGTGAACACTGTGCAGCCTGCTAGATACAACAGAGCATAAACAGTAAGGTGGGCGATGGCGACCATCACGTACCCGATGGCGTGGGCAACAAGACTAGGCAGCGCCCGTATGCACTCTCTCTTTCTCTCTGACTTGTAAGGCTATCCCCTTCAACTATAAAAGGAGATGCGCTCTCTCCTACCAGAGGGATCGAAAGATCGAAGACTTGAAGACTCAAAGACTCGAAGACTCGAGGACTCGAGGATAACAGCACAACGGCTCTAGAGCTCGACAGCTATACAGTCTACACACTCTCATCAGCTGATAAGCTCAGACACTCAATGCATACACTCCAATACTTAGCGCACGTTTGAGCATCCGTCACTCTCTTCCATTCGGTTCAGAGTCCGACCAGGCCTCTAATATCCCCCTTCTCATTCCTTACTCATTTGTAACCCCACAGCAAACTTCGAGCACATGGGCTCAGGAATAAAGTCACCGACCAACCTCAACTGGACATAGGGCCTGTTGCCTAAACCAGTATAAATCCTATGTCATTGAGTGCTAGGCCACATCTGATCACAACGCACGACAAAACTACAAATATTTACTTGTTAGCCACAGTTTGCACCAACATATACCATGTGGTGAGGAGCCAGCTCTGTAGCATCAATTTTGTAAACACCCTCCTCTCCGTCCCCTATACACCAATGAATGAAGAGAAAGAGCAAACTTTTCACCTCAGGAGGTAACGGCGAGAGCTAGGCCATGCACATAGATCCGACTGTCCCACGTGTGAAATGGCTCTTGCGCGCCAAAATCCAACCCCACCACCGTATATGTCATTCCATGTTTCTTCGACAATCTTCCTTCCCCACGCACACCACAAATGTCTAGTGCGGTGGTGCTAATAGAGCCCAACGATGCAGCGCCAGCTAGGAAGAGTAATGTGACAACTTTGTCTAGGGAGAGCCAAGGCATGGCGCATGGTGACAATAGCTTGGCGGCATCATCCATCCCCATTGGTCGCGACAATGGCGCTATAGTGGCGTCTTCCTCCAAGGCTAGATCTGGCATGGAGACATGAGAGCGGAGGGTTGCTATGGTGGGGTTGTGAATTGATAGAGCAGGTAGCTCCACCGACTGCAACTGTGTCCTTCCCAAGGTGATAGCGTGTGTTGTTCCCCTATACCCTCACCTACATCTTGAACCGATGTTAGTCATCCTCTTCTCATGTGCCTCTTCCTCCACTGATTGGAGCATGCAAGTACCCTATCTTAGGTTACCTCAATCTTGATTGAGTTGGGGTATGAATGGCCAAATTTGTATGTCTTATTGTTGATTGGACACAGCTCAGGCTCATAATATTAGTTCAACAAAGGCTCATGACATGATACAAAGAGAATGGTCTAGTTTCTAGATGCGATAGAGAAGGGAGTAGTGAAGAATTTGCAAGCAATGGCTGGAGTAGAGAGGGTGAAGTTTGCAAGAAATGGCTAGAGTAGAGAGATAGAAGATTCACATCTTCTAAAGGGATGTTAGTGTAAATGTAGTGTTTATACTATAGGGTACCTTGGTTTATTGTTCTGCCCTACGGATGTGTGGTAGCCAGCACATGGTGACAACCCTACCAGCTTACCTAGTCCACCATGTTTAGGTTAATTCCTAAATTGTAGGGCTCTTTGTGGCTTAGCCCAAAGACCCTTCTCATGCCTTTCAGCTAGTGGTTTGGGTCATGCCCTGAAGTGTTATTGAAGCTCAACTATGCAATACCTTGGTCTTGGTTGTATCTTCTAAGTTCTATGCTAGCATTGGTCCTTAGTAGCAGAGAAGATCTTAAGAATCTTAGTACTTAGTCGTTGTCCTCCTAGATTTAACATGTTATCTCCTAACAGGTGCTGCTGCAAGACCCTACAACTAATCCTAGACCATTCTACGTCCTCTAATCCTATCCCATATTACAACCTCTAACCCTAACCCATGCTACATAACCAATTCATAGTACTTATTGCGACCCCTAATCCATCATCTCCCGCATCCCCTTATCTAAAACCCTCGATATAGCCCCTAATCCCAACCCCCGCAAACCCTAATCTCATCATTACTTGCTACATACACTAATCCTAGTCCTTGCGCTGCAACCCCTAACCCAATTGCTGCTACAAAACCTAACACCAGTGCTTGTTGTGACTCCTAGTCCATGTATTTGTTGTGACCCTAACCTAGTACTTGTTGTGGCCCCCTAATTTAAACCTTGTTGCGGCCTCTAATCCTATTATTGGCCATGACTACTAATCCCCACCGGTGATGCTATCACTAATCCTAGACCCTATTGTGCCCTCTAATCCCATCCCATGTTACAACCCTTAATCCCAACACATTTACATGTATACAAATATGTGTTTGAGAATTTTAAGGCGTAGTAGTGTGACCAAACGGTAGGGTGAACCTCATAACTCTAATCAGTGTGCCTGCTGCAACTGTAAAACAGTATGGGTGATGCGGCCCCTAATCAATATGGATGTTGCAACACAATCAGTATGGAACTGTGTTTAAGATTAAAAGTATCATCTTGAACAGACAGAATGGGAAACCCCTTAAACCTAATCAGTATTATTATTGCAACAACGTTAATTAGTATGGCTGTTGTGACCCTAATTGGTATGGCTGCTACGACCATAACCAGTATGTATAAGTATATGGAGCCTCTGATTGGTGATTCTAAAAAGTAGCAACCAGACAAGATGGTATAGGCAAGACCCAATAACCCTAATCAGCATGTCTATTGCGACCCCTGATTAGTATGCATGCTGCAATTTTTAATTGATATGAGTGCTATGACCCCTAATCACTATGGAAGGTGCAACCCCCAATTAGTAACCTCTAATCACTATGGATCGTGCAACCCTCAATTAGTATGCACGAGTATATGAAACCCATATTTGAGAATTGTAAGAGCATCTCCAGCAGACTACCTAAAATAGGTTAACTACTTGCCCCCACCCCCCACCAAGATTTGTTGGCTACCCAAATCCTCCACTACTACCCATTCCCACAAGTCAAGTAGGGGCCTCTAGTTTTTCGTCATGTCAGTTTCCTACCAGGCACGCCCGATTCCACGCCTACACCCAATCGTTTGCACGCTCGATTCCTCCTCACCCGATGCAACCTCCTCCCTACCTGGTTTCACCCTGCCCGACACCTCCTCCAAGCCCAACGTCACCTCCTTCCCTCTCGTTTCTCCTGAGCCAATGCCTCCTCCTCACCTGGTCTGGCTGTCGGATGAATCGGTTATCACTCCCCACACATGCGGCGCTCTCTCTGTTTCTAGGAGAAGAAGAAGGCCAAAGAAAGAATAAGGAAGAAGAGGGACGAATCTACATGTATATCCATTGGGGTCAGCTGACCCCGGTAACTTGCTGAAAACATACTAAAAGTTCTTTTATTCACCTACAAATTACTCTTTCAACCAGACAATCAATACGTCTTTGACCCCGTTGCTTAGTCCTTGACCCCAGTATCCTAGATTCGCCCCTGGAAGAGCCGGATTCCATGTCAGGAAGTAGAAGATAGAGAAAACTTGGTCCAAATAATTCAGCCAAAATTTGATTATTTTTATGCTAATTACCTCCCAAATCTAAATATAACCTCATCTGACCTTTTTTTGCCATCAACAGTGGAATAATTCTTAATCCTAAAACATTAAATTTTTAGAGAAAGAGGTTTGACAAACCAGCACCTCCTGGGGCAAGGATCGGCGGTGTCCCAATGTATTTTTCAGAGAGCTTTCAGACGTCCGTTGTAAGCGCAAGTCTACCATGAGGGCGAACAATAGCAATCCCTTGCTTGTCCACTGGCACTAGCTAGTACCTAGCTAGTGTGCCAAGATGCTGCAACGACCGGCTGCGTTGTGCGGCTCTTCAGGCACCACTAATACAAAGCACTACGTCGCTTTCCACGGCGAAAGCCGAAAGGCACCGTGCACCTACACTCAACGCATGCCAAGACGATGCCCACGACCCAACCACCGTGAGAATTATATAACCTCACTCACTAAACCCAAAAGCTAAACCACTACTCGATCAAGTGCCCGCGCCCGTCCTAGCTAGTTTCCAAGGCATGGCGCCCCATAGCATGCATATCGTCCTCCCCGTTCTGTGCCTCACCGTTGCCGTCACCGCCGCCCACGGCTTGTTGATTGACTTCCGTGCTGACCTTAACCACCCCTACGCTGGCAGCTCGCTCTCTACGGACGACGTCATTATCCACGCCGCCCGCGCCAGTAGGGCCCGGGCGGCGAGGATCAATGCCAGGCTCGCACGCGTCCTCGGCAACCTCTCGGCAGCCGACGTGCCGGTCGCCCCGCTCAGCGACCAGGGCCACTCGCTGACCCTGGGCATCGGCACGCCGCCGCAGCCGCGCACTCTCATCGTCGACACCGGCAGCGACCTCATCTGGACGCAGTGCAGGCTGTCCCGCCGCACGCGCACGGCGAGCCGGCAGCGCGAGCCGCTCTACGAGCCACGCAGGTCCTCCTCCTTCGCCTTCCTCCCCTGCAGCGACCACCTGTGCCAGGAAGGCCGGTTCTTCGACAAGAACTGCACCAAGAACAGGTGCATGTACGACGAGCTGTACGGCAGCGCCGAGGCCGACGGCGTCCTCGCGTCCGAGACCTTCACCTTCGGCGTGGACAGCAAGCTCTCCCTCCCGCTCGGCTTCGGCTGCGGCGCGCTCTCAGCGGGGAGCCTCGTCGATGCCTCCGGCCTCATGGGCCTGAGTCCGGGGATCATGTCTCTCGTATCGCAGCTGTCCGTACCAAGGTTCTCCTACTGCCTCACTCCTTTCGCCGAGCGCAAGACCAGCCCGCTGCTGTTCGGTGCAATGGCCGACCTGCGAAAGTACAAGACGACGGCCCAGACCACTTCCATAGTGAGGAACCCGGCAATGGAGACGGCCTACTACTACGTGCCACTGGTGGGGCTGTCGCTTGGGACAAAGCGGCTGGACGTGCCGGCGACCAGCCTCGGGATCAAGCCGGACGGCAGCGGCGGCACGATCGTCGACTCGGGCAGCACGATGGCGTACCTCGCGGAGAAGGCGTTCAGAGCCGTCAAGAAGGCCGTGCTGCAGACGGTGAGGCTCCCGGTGGTGAACGGGACCGACGACGAGGACTATGACTATGAGCTGTGCTTCGCGCTGCCGAGCGGCGTGGCGATGGGGGCGGTGAAGACGCCGCCGCTTGTGCTGCACTTCGACGGCGGCGCGGCGATGGTGCTGCCGCGGGATAACTACTTCCAGGAACCGAGAGCCGGGTTGATGTGCCTGGCTGTGGGCAGCTCACCGGATGACTTCGGCGTGTCCATCATCGGCAACGTCCAGCAGCAGAACATGCACGTGCTGTTTGATGTGCGCAACCAGAAGTTCTCCTTCGCGCCCACAAAATGTGATGAAATCTGAGCTACGCAAAATCAAGCACAATTGCCGCCTGTATAACAACAACCCCTGCTATCGGCAAACAACGAGCAAAGGATAAGCTTTAATTTGAGCCATTGTCAAATGTATTTATCAAGCACGGCCGGGCGTGGAGCATTTCCGATAACGGATTTGCTAGAGCCCAGACGTCCGTCCGGACGCTGCCGCACATGTAAGAGAGCCTGTGTGCCTGCCTGTTTTCGCGCGCCCCACCATGTAGACCCCACGTTGCGCTCGTTCTATTTCTTCTTATGACTGTGGAGCCCACACACGGAAACTCACGTGGGTCTCAGTCACCTGTCCCGCCTGCGGATGCGCGCCGTGGAGGTGTCTGCCAGCCACATACCCCTACACGGTGGCCCATGGCGGTGGCACCCCAGCAGCAGGCGCAGGCGTCTGCAGCAGGTGGGTCCCATTACAACATGTGTAACATCTCGATCTACTTTTGCAACATCTAGAGATGAAAACACTTGCAACATACGTCTGAAATAGCTGAAACACTTTCAATACGTCTAAAACACCTTGAAAGTGTTTCAGCTATTTCAGACGTCTTTTGCAATTTCCAGAGAAAACTTAATCAAGACGGGCAAAATTGATTAGCCGAGGCGGGCAATCTATCCGCCTCTGTCCAAAGGTCACGGTTAATCCGGCCTTAACAGAGGCGGTTGGCTGCTCACCTCGGTTAATCGATTAATGGAGTCGAGCACCGTTAATACCATTAACCGAGGCGGGCGTCTTAAAATGCCCACCTCCGGTAATGTTGTCTAGAAAACCTAGAAAATAAAAAAAAAACTTATGACTTTAGAGAGTCAAACCCACAACTTAGCGCTCAATATTAAAATGTCTCTACAACTACACCACACACTCATTCATATCTATATATAATATGCTATATTTTTATATCAATATTTCGTAATTCTATATTGCATATTTTAGCTACTAAATGAACTCAAATGAAAAAACTTTTAACTATAAATTTTTCATTCTTTGAAGTACTACAACTTTGGTATATCATGTATCTCCATCAGAGATAGTTTGAAAAATTAAAAAAAAAAGAGTTTTAGAACATGTAAATTTCAAACACATATTTGAGACTCTAGTTGACTTTAAATCAAAAACTTATCAGTATCAAACATGTAGATCAAGTCGGCCACTAGAACTTTGGTATTAAATATGTGAACATTTGAGATCGTTTAGGAATTCAAAATTTTAAATTTCAAAATTTATAACCTTCGAACACATATTTGGGACTCTAAACATCATCAAATTTAAAACTTTCAACTACAAAGTTATAGATTCTATTGAGAACTATAACGGTTGTATAGACCATGTCAACATCCGAGTTGTTTGATAATTTCAAATTTCAAATTTCAAAATCTATGCCCTTACAATAATATTTTGGGATACTAAACGGTTTCAATTCAAAAACTACTACAAAGTTATAGATCTCGTCGAGAGCTACAATTTTAATTTAAAGTTTATCTTCATCCGAGTTCATATGAAAAAGTTATGAATTATTTTTTGTTGCAACCATTAACCGAGGCGGGCAAATCGATTTACCGAGGTGGACGGTTATAACGACTGCCTCCTAAAATAATCGATTAACCGAGACAGTTGGCTTACGGTGCCCGCCTCGATTAATCCATTAACGAAACCAACCACCTTGGTTAATCGTGGATTAACCAAGCCGGTTGGCTTACAGTGCCCGCCTCGATTAATCCATTAACGACATAATAGAGGTGGTTGTCTTATGGTGTCCGCCTCGGTTAACCGATTAATCGAGGCGGTTGCTGGGCCGGCTGCTCGGCCATCGGTTAACGGAGGCAGGCAACCAGCCCGCCCGCTTCCGAGCGCCAAAGGCAAATGCCTTGTAAAAGTTTTTGTGTAGTAGTGAGATCTACTTTTGCAACATCTAGATAAAAAACTTGCAACATACATATGACACACCTTAAACACTTGAAATATACGCTTGCAACATACATGTTATGCAACATCCAGATATACTTCTGCAACATCCAGATAAAATACGAAACATACGTTTGAAACAACTGAAACATACACTTGCACATGAAACATACGCTTGTAACATGCGTATATAGCCATTGCAATATATGCAGCATCCAGATAAAACACTTGAACACATACATCTGAAATACCTGAAACACGGCATCGTCGGTGGCCACGGCCTACCTTGTGGGGAATTGCAGTAGCTAGCAAGCGGCGCTCGAGTGCAGTGGAGATCAAGGATGGCGGTAGGCGGGCGGCTCAGCGTGGTGGAGAGGGGAAGGATGGCGTGCTAGAGGGGTCGTCGAGGACCACGCTGAAATTCGCGGCGGCGCAGGCTCAACGGCGACACGTTACTCTATCGATAATGTTCTCGTGAGGGCGTCCAGACGGACGAACACGGCTTCCCCACTCGCTACCGCGTCGTCCGCTCAGTCCCGTCCACGCCCCTTATGAAAAAAAATCTCTCTACTGTGCTCCGCCTCCACCGCGTTGCCCGCCTTCCCCACTCCGCTCTCCACCGCGCCGCTCGCCTGCACTGCGGCATCCGCCCGCCGCGGTCACCTCCACCATGCTGCCCGCTCGCGGCTGCCGTGTCCATCGAGTTGTCTGATGGCGGAGCTTCGTGTGACGCCGCCCCGCCGGCGAGTTGCCCGTGACGCTGCCGCATCGATGAGCTCCATGTGCCGCCGTTGACCTCCGCGCCGGTGCTGATCTCCGCAATGATGAGCCTCCATTCCTCCAAGCTGCGAGGTGACATTGCGCTGGAAGCGTATGTTGCAAGCGTATATTTTAAGTGTTTTAGTTGTTTCATCTGAATGCTACATGTGTTTCATCTGGATGTTTGTAGATTAGGAGATGCACATGTTCAAATGGCTATACACATATGTTGCAAGTGTATGTTCCAGATGTTTCATATGTTTGTTCAGATATATGTTGCAAGTGTGTTTATTTGGATGTTTCATATGTTTCACCCATATGTTGCAAGTGTTTTATCTGGACGTTGCATATGTTTTAAAATGGCTTTTCAAGTGTTTTCTAGTGTTTTTATAAGTGATTCATACGCATGTTTCAAGTGTTTCATATGTCTTCAGACATATGTTGCAAATGTTTTATCTGTACGTTTTAAAAGTAGATCGGGTGTTGCACATGCCACAGTAGTGTTGGTGGCTAGCGGACAGCGGCCTGCCGTAGGGCTTCGGCTCCAAACTCGCGCGGCACGCCTCGCCCTCTCCCTCCCTTCCCTCCATCTCGCCTCGGCATTGGCATTGGCATTGGGGTGGGGGTCGTCGAGGGTTCTGGCGTGGGATGGGATATGTGGCGCGAGGCGTGGGATGTGATGCCAGTGTAGGTGCGGGAGCAGCGTCTGGACGACGTCCGGGCGCTAGCTCTTCCGTTACTCTATTGCATACTCCTTTCATAGTGCTCGCGAGTTGTGACGACGTAAAAGGAAAATAGAGCAGCATTTGTTGGCAATCATTACCGTGGTGCTCTTGGTACATACAGAATCTCAGGTTCTTATACCAACATCATTGGAGCCATGGGAGTGCGCGACACTTCACTGGCGGCACATATGACGTATGTAAGGGGCGTGCTCAAGTCTGCAGGCCATGAGAGTTCAGATTTCACGCTGTCGCTTGGTGTTGTTCATCGTTGCAACATTTTTGGGTCGAGAGCTCATGGTCGATTTGCGTGGTACGCAGGTGGAGGTTCAATCTCCACGCGACCACGCCGTATATGCAGACAACATTAGTTCATTGTTCTTGGTACCTCGGCTACTTTTATCTGTCCCCGGCACTTGGACGGCAATGGTGTTAGAGTCGGCCTTCGCGTCGCATGGCGTTGCCAAAATACCGACGACGACGTTGGTATTCCGTACGTATTCGGCAGTGTAGACAAACCGAGAGGTGCCAGCACTGCATGGTGCTTATACCTGACTAATTTCTGACTTCCTTTGCAAACTCCAGATCCGAAGCCCGCGTCTCGGGGAAGAACCATGTCCGGCCACCCAAATACCATTTGACGACGCAGCATCTCCTGGTGGCGGTGGCGGTACGCAGCGACAATGGGGCAATGCCGGGCAGGCGCGGCGGTGGCAGCGGCAACATTGTGGTGGCTTACGGTGTGCGCCGGGGCGGTGTGGCTGGAGCTGGCGACGACGGCGATCAAGTGCCTGTCCGAGGAGATCCAGTCCAACGTCGTCGTCATGGCCGACTACTCCATCCTCTTCGAGGAGCACCCCATACGCCCCAGGGTCTCCGCCAAGGTAACAAACAATGCGAGATGGATTAAAAAGGATCGCCGATGGCCCGATGCCAGCACGAATAGGACCCAGACCGATGCGTACCTGGTACCATCTCGCTTTGTTTGTTACAGCTCCTGTTTATTGGACTGAACAAACAACTCAAGAACAGATGGATCGACGATCACTGGAGGAAAAAAAAATAATGGTGTGGTCGTCACTGCAGTTTCTTCCTTGATTGTTCCTGCAGGTGACATCGCCTTTCGGAGACGTCCTGCATCACGCCGACAAGGTTAGCCATGGCCAGTTTGCCTTTACCACGGCGGAATCTGGCATTTACCTTGCCTGCTTCTGGACGGAGACTCTGGAGAAGGGAATGGTGGTCAACCTTAACCTTGATTGGAGAACGGGGATCGCAGCAAAGGACTGGGACTCCATTGCTAAGAAAGAGAAGCTTGATGTGAGCACCGTACCAGCGATAAATTTAGTCATAGCAATTCAGGCCCTGTTTGTTTCAGCGTGTATAAATTGTGGAAGCTACAGACAAGCATCTTAACAAATTAGCATCCTGCCTTGGCAGCCTGCTTGTTTGTTTAAGCTCGAGGCAATTTAGGCTAAAACAAACAGGGCCAGTCGCTTTCCCCACCAGCCAGAATTCTGTATTCTTTGGCGATTCTTAATCATCCACATTTTTTTACAGGGTGTGGCACTAGAGCTTGTCAAACTAGAAGTAGCTGCAAAAGCCATCCATGAAAACTTGCTCTACCTTATATTAAAGTAAGTAAAATTTAATGTTTTTATACAGCACCGATAACTGTTTAAAAAATAACAAATTGGTTATGGATGCAGAGAAGCAGACTTGCGAGACCTGAGTGAGTGGACACAAGTGAAGATCACATGGCTGAGCCTTATATCCCTCGCTGTCTGTATCGCAGTCTCAGTTTTGCAATTGTGGCATCTCAAACAGTTCTTCCGAAAGAAGAAACTCATCTAGATAGCACTTCTAGCGTAGTCTGAGGAAACAAGTTACAGGTACAGGCTTTGAGACAATCTGGGATTTTTGTTAGTGTCTGAAGCAAGTTCTGGGATTAGATTTCATAACATTTTTGGCCTTAGTAGAAGCAGATAATGAGTTACATGTTCATTCATCCCACTGTTTGTGTGCAGCCCTTCCCTTCTCCTTTGATAAGGACCACTTTTCCTTTGATGTGTCAATTACTTATGGTCTGGGATTCTGGGTTCCATGAATTGGAAACATGATCAACCACATACTATCACAGAATAGACCATTTGCCACTTCATTCAGAAGGAATAGCAAAATGCAGATCAATAGGTTTGCTTGACTTGGTTCATTCATCAGTTGTATGTGTAACTGGAGGCCACACTATTTGGATTGTAGCATATGGCAATGGTAACATTGGTACTCCTATGAATATCTAGAATTTTTCATTGATGTGACACATTATCATCATGCAATTTCTGCTGGATGTTGTATGAATGGATTGGTGGCAATGTCTTTAGACTACAGTTCTGTCAATAAAGCCAATCAGCCACTGAATAATGTGCAGCCACATGGCTACAATCAACTATATATTTTCGTATCAAACTAGGATTGTACCAATTGGAAAAAAAATTGTTAGATCAAAGAACAGTAACAAACCATGACTGCTTATTACATTCAGGAATCAAAGAACAATGCAGTTAACAGGCACAAAACTTAGACTAGTGAAAAATAGAACCAAATGATCTCTAGCCCGAAGTGCAGATACATTCAGACTGGGTGAACAACAAAACAAACAAAAAATTATGCAATTAAATTGTCCCGAGCAAACACATTGGGTAAAAGCTGCCTTGGTTCAGTGCTAACTCACTTCAAGAATGGCAAAATGCAGCAACTCCTCTACTCTATGCACACTCTCCCACTGTTCATGTAAGTGAACTTGCAAATCTCCTCAAAGAAATCATCAGCAGCATCATGGCAATTCTTCATCTGCGAGATCCTAATGACCATCCTTCTTAGCCTCACGCTGTACCTGACAATGGACTCGAGGGTGTTCAGCTTCTGCTCAGCATTCAGAGGTGACCGCACGGTGACCAGGACCTGCTCCAAGGAAGGTATCACGAACCTTGAATCCAACTGCATTGATAGAGCAGAGTTAGCTAGGCCATACACCAACCAGAAGTCCATATCCACAAGCGAAATATTGCAAACATAGAAGCGGTATGGTATGGCATGGCTTACCTTCTTCAGGCTGTTCTTCTGACACAGCGCCGCGAACATGGCGCCGTGGATCTCGAACTTGCGAAGCTTCGGGTGGCTGTTGAAGAACTCGACGAGGTCGATCTCCGGGAATGGCTGCAGCGTGTCATAGTCACCACAGAACTCAACCTTCATCACCAGGTGCTTCACCTCACCAGCGCACTGCAGCACCGAGTTGATGGCGCCCCAGCTCCACTGGACGCCGCGCAGCGAGAGCTGGTCCAACTCCGGGAGCTTCCCCATCTCAACATGATACACAGTACCTAAAACATCCCATTTTTGAATAGCAACCATTAGGCAATGTGAAACGGACCAAATCTGTTTCGCAGGGGAACGCAAAGAGGCATCCGGAGCGTACCAGTGTTCTTGGAGATTGTGAGATGTTTGAGACGGTGGCCACCTTGCAGAGAGATTAAGGAGAAGCCCTGGATCTCAAGGGACTCGACGCGGGGCGCGGCGAACCTGAGAGAGCAGTTACCAGAGCCGACGAAGTCGAGCCGGCACCGCTCGAGCAGGGCGAGCGAGATGACCGCCTCTCCGGCGCACTCGCATCCGAGCAGCGCGAGGTCTGTGAGGTTGGGGCAGGCGGCGACGGCGCCGTTGACCGCGGCGTCTTCGAGCACGGCGCCGACGACCTCCAGCACGCGGAGCCGCTCCATCCGGCCCCACGCGGGGGCGCGCGTCATCGTGAGCCCCCACAGCCTGAGCTCCTCGAGGCCCGCGGCCACCCCGATGGAGTCCAGGTGGCCCGACTTGTCGGCGGCGGCAGAGTCCACCCGCAGCTCGAGCACGCGCAGCGTGGCGGCGCGCGCCGCGAGCCAGCGCGGGAGCAGCGACGCGGAGAAGGGGCAGTACACGACGAGCTCCTCGAGGTGCGCGGCGGCGTCGACCATCCGGCCGATGGCGTCGTCGGCCGCGGCCACCGCCGACGCCGACGCCGGCCCGCCACCCACGGTCTCGAAGGCGCCCCGCGGGAAGTAGAGCGACGGGAGGAAGGGCATGCAGTCGCGCCAGCAGCGGGCGACGGCGGCGCAGGAGGCCACGTCGCGGGCGTTGCTGAGGTGCGAGAGGATGTGCTGCACGACGCCTTCCGGGAGCGCGTCCATGCCGCCGTCGGGGACTGTTGCCGGAGCGGCGAGTGGCGGCCGAGATGGAGATTGGGAGCGTGCGCGATTCGAGTGAGGCTGGAATGGAGGTGGGGTTCGAAATTTAAAGGGCGGAGTGGGGGAGGAGGAGCCGCGGTATGGGAGGATTTGGATTTTGAAATTGTGGCGACCGTTCCGAAGGGATTCCGGGTGATTTCTCTGGGCATTCGAACTTCGAAACCTTGGGATGGTGGGAGGTTTTGGGCTTCCTTTTTCGAGTTGGCGCCTGCCGCGGTGCCGTTTGGCGGCGCGGGGGTGGAGGCAGGTCCGCGCGTGCGCGGCTGCCATTCGTTTTTCGCCCGCCGACTAGCGAGAGAGGCGGAAGCGCTAGCTTTTCCTCATGATCCAGTTTCTATTCGTGGGCCGACGCAGACACATTGGCACTACCTGTCGCTGTCGGCCTGCCTTGGGCTGGGTTTATGCGGCCTGCTTATATATTTTAATTTTAATCAAGAAAAAAATCATTCTATCTCTTTTAATTATTGACGCAGTCTAATTTTATTTCATGAATTCCAAAATCAAATATCTTACACCAAAACTTTCAAAACCTTTCAAATTATCACCATACCCTAATCTACAGTAGTTCCAAGTTTTGTTCTTTTTAGTTTAAAAATGTGTAAATAATTTATAAGATTTTTAAACCATAATAAAATGAACCTGAGTTTTTTTTAAAAAAAACAAGAGTTAGTTTAGTATATGGAAAATCAATATAAAATATTTAGAGCTCATGAAAATATCTTTAGAACCTTAAAAAGTTAGATTTTACTCTAGAAAAATAGAAAAATATCGAGAATGGCCTAGAAAATTCTCATAACATTTTAATTGATATATAAACATGTTTTTAGAAACTTTGCACAGTACAGATATGAGATGCCGCTAGCATGAATACAACATACATTAATGTTGAATGTATTCATGACATCATCCGTGATGGTAGCATGTTATTTTTCTGAAAAGTAGTAAAAACATGTTTATATACCAATTTGGCCCCCTTTGGAATGGAGGAAAAGTATATTATAGCTAAAAATTCCTATGAGGCCCTTTGGAACACAGGAATCTTTTCCAACAATTCCTATGAAATTCCTATGGATTGAACCATTGAAGGAATTTTGGAGGAAACTAAACATGAGCTCCAATTTCATTGTTTTGTTTCCTGAGCTTTTCCTACATTGCTTCCAAAGGCATCTAAACCCCTATAGGATTTGAAGTGTTAGGATATTTCATTCCTATATTTTTCCTATTCCTATGTTTTGTAAATCCTTAGTTCCAAAGGTTCCATTAGCATGTTCGTAGATTTTCTAGTTTTTTTGGATATTTTTACATTTTACTAGAGATAAATATACTTTTAAGCGTCTAGATTTATTTTCATGAGCTCTAAATATTTTCTTTAGAATTTTTATATCAATTATTTGTCAAAAAAATATACTAAAAAAAGGCAAACCCGCCTTTAAAATCACTTAAAACTAGGGTAGGGAGGTAATCTGGACGGTTTTAAAAGTTTAGGGGTAATAAGATGTCTAGTTTTGAAGTCTGAGAAACAAAAGCAAATTATAGTGATAGTCCAAGTTAGTAGGACAAACTTTTTTCCTTTAATCAACTTTGACATTCGTGGCTGATTTTTATGTAGAAGCCCTATTAATCCTACAAAAGATGCAAAGCTTAGGGCACTCACAACAATTTTGTCAGGTAATGGAGGCTTTTAGGCTTCACACATCTTTCTTAATTAAGATGCGTTAGACCATAATTACTACAAAAGTGATAGCAACATGACTCAATAATGAAACACTTAACCAAGAATTCAGAAAAATTGATGTACCAAAGAAAACAACAAATTAAAGAAAAGGAATAAATTCAAAATCTTTAAATTGTAGCTTGAGTAATCCTTCTTTGGAGGGCATTAGCAATAGTTGGCTCTCTATAACTTGTCATGTCATTGCCAACTCATCTCTAGAGAGCTCAGAAAATTGGCAAAATTAGGTCCTGGACACTTAAAAAAGATAGCCTTTGCTGCAACGCATAAAAAAACTTGTCTTTATCCAAACACACTAAAACTCTTTGGTAATTGGGTCCTGGACACTACACCTCTTATTATAATCGTTTTTAATAGAAAGGTACGCGAAAAGACGAAATTATCCCTGCATATTCTCTTGTTTCCCCTCTTTGCTGGGGGGATGGCCAAACGGATCGGGACTTCCTTGTTTGCGCCGCTCCTATCTGCGCCGAGACACGCCTCGCTTGACTCCCTCCGTCCGGCCGTCTCTGCTGCTTGCCCCACTGCTCTAGGCGCACGGCCGCGCCCTTCGCCAGAGCCCCGAGGCCGGGCCTGTTCCCTCCTGGGCGACGGTCACGGCGGCGACGCCCCGTGGTGGGGAGATGGAGGAACCTCCTCCACGATTCTTCAGCGACATTTTCCCAGAGAACCACGCCGATCTATCATGGGTTCCCGACATGTAAGATTCTTGCGATTTTCCCCTAGGGTTAGGCTAACTATAGGCTCGATTTTGCAAAGTAAATCATACCCTTGTTCATCCCATTCATCTTTGTGCCCCTGTATATGTAGGATGGATCTCAATTCGTCCTACAGGCTTGTTGTTCGAGTAGGCGCTTATGTCAAATTAACTGATGATGATGGTTGCGAATATTGCAAGGCATGTAACATTCCAAAGATTTTAGACAGGGATAGCACAAACTGGAATGATTTGCTTCTTGAATTTGCTACATAAATTAAGCTAGGCTCAAAACAAAAACTACGTGTCCCCTATTGGGATAATATGAGTCGTAGCTATAGAGATATTGATTCTGACCAGAAATTGCTTCATGCAATTGACATGTATTGGGATATAAGGAGGCTTTCCGTGCAAGTGCGTGTTATAAGAAAAGACGACGAGGATCACATACATGATATTGGCCTGGTGGAGAGCATGCCTTGTGTTTTGCGAGGAAGCACCGATGCCCTGACCAACCAAACTATTGCACAACCTTCACTTCAAATCGACTCATCTCTTGTAGAGCCACCAATTCAAAAATTCTTCAAGCGGCTTGGGTGGATGATGACGTAGAGTAGGTTGGTGCGAATGATGAGGATCCAATTTCGATTTATCGAGCTGAACCAAATAGTGATGTAGACTATCTTTGGTTTGGAGGATAAATTAGTTGTTGAGGATGCATGGGGTTGTAAGACAATTATCCATGCAACCCGACTTGGAGAATCCGAAAATAGAAGTTGGTGTAACTTTTGGGGATGGTGATACTTTCAAGAAAGCTATTAGGCAATATGCAATAAAAGGTGAATATGAAATTACTGACTCCTATTCAGAGGCAACAAGGTATAGAGGCTATTGCAAAGTTGAAGCAGTGCGGTGGCGTGTACATGCTTCACAATTGCAAGATGGAAGGACTTGGGAGGTACTTGTTCTTTTTCCAGATTTTTTATATTGATTTTTTTCTTGTGTTGTTTGTAATTGAATTTAATTCTTGCTTGTTTCAGATAAAGAAGATGCCTTATGAACACACTTGTCAAAGCAGAGAAAAAGTTAAGAAGGCGCATGGCAACAAATCATTGGGTCAAGGATCGGGTTCTGGATTGGCTTGCAAAGGACAATAAAATTGGGCCTAAAGAATTAAAGAAAAGGCTAGAGAGGAGCAGTATCATCCGAAGTTGTCATCTTTGGGTAGTTTGGGATGGAAGAAATAAGGCTTTGGAGCAACTCAAAGGGAAGTGGGATGATAGTTTTGAGTGTATTTTCAGTTTCAAGCAGAAGCTGGAGAAGACCAATCTGGCGGTTTGGTAGACATTGAATATGAGAAAGTTGAGAAGAAGATGAGGTTCACTAGAATGTTTGTTGCATTGAAGTCTTGTGTGGATGGATTTCTAAATGGTTGCGAGCCTTTCCTTGGTGTGGACTCCACTCATTTGATCTGGGAAATGGAAGGGTCAACTTGCATCTGCTATTGCTATTGATGGGAACAATTGGATGTTTCCAGTGTGTCATGGTGTGTTTGGATCAGAGACAACTGACAATTGAGAATGGTTTTTTAGCAGACTTCATCAAGCTATTGGATCACCTCCAGACCTAGTGATATCAATTGATGCAGGCAAAGGAATTGATTCAACTGTTACTAAAGTCTTTAAAAATTGGACAAAATGTTCTTGAGAAGAAAAATTGCAAGAAAGCTTGAAGGCAAGATCCTACCTAAAGTCATGAAGGAACTCAATACAAGAAGTAGGGGGCTCAAATATGTGTGGAGGTATTCACACAAAGATGGTGGTACTGAGACTGAAATTTTAGGTGAAGTTGAACGTGTTACAAGGGATCCAGTTCATTGGAGGCATACTGTTGATCTTAAAGAGAGAAACATGGTATCATCATGTCCTTTTATCTATCTGAAATGTTCATTTGAAAGGGCAGGGGTATACTTGTCTTTTATAAATGTATTGATACCTGTTTGATGAGGATATGTTATAATATGTGTTATAGTGTCTAGCACCCAATTGCCATAGAGTTTTAGTGTGTTTGAGCAAAGACATATTTTTTTAGTGTGTCGTGGCAAAGGCCACCTTTTCTTACTGTCCAAAACCTAATTATGCCCAAAAAAAAATTACACATGCAAAGATCAAGCTTTAACGGTATGTCACAAATTTAGAGCGGTTTCCACCCGCGTATCTACCATAACCTTCCATCAACGTCCCCCGTTGCCTACCGCTCACAGCTCGCCCTACTCCGCGCAACGCCGCCGCCGCCGCCGCCCGCCCCTCTCCTCACCCCAACCGTCCTCCTGCTCTGCTTCCACTTCTCGCTCCCCGCCAGCTCATCCTATGGAGGCCAGACCTCCCTAGTCAGCTGCGCATCTCGCGGGCGGCGGGGGCACTGCCCAGCGCCGTCCGCCCCTCACACGCCTCCCCGCGAGGTTCCGACGCCGCCGGTGCTACCGGTCCGCCGCTCCGCCCTCGCCAGCTGTGATTCGGTGCCGCGCCAGCACGGGAGCCCGGCCACGGCCAAACCCTAGAGGCGCAGCCCTGCTGCCGGTGCACGCGAGGCCTCCGGCAACACCAGATCCAGATACCGGCGTCTCTCCCTTGCTCGGACCCTCCGTCTCTGCGTCCTTAGGTCGCCCTCACCTCCTATTCCTCGCTCGCAGCATCGAGGCCAGTCCCCAGACGCATTTACAAGATTGGTATCCATATATCAATCTTTTCATAGGTTCTTGATGTTGGCTACTATTATTTGAAATCAGTTTATCAATTTCATAGGAATTCCAGAGTTCACAAATTTTCTGTTATCAAATGCAGCCAACAGGCTATTTGGTGGAAAAATATTCATGCAGTTTCGATGCACACATACATCTTCTGCAACACAATATTTCAAAGACTTAACCTCTAATATGTATCTTACGTAATGGCTTCTTCTTTGCTGTCAAGGAAGTATCATCTACCATATGAATTATGAAGGGCTCAATACAAAACAACGTACTCTGCAGCTTGAACATGTGAGTTATGAACTATGCATGCTTAAGAATTATGTTGATTTTGCTGCTTCAAACAACATGTTTCTCGACCATCCAATTATTGTTCTTGGCTTCCACTGATAATACGTAATTATTTTGTTTCACTGTTTCAGGAGATATCTCTCTTGGCTCATTTGGAGCATGAAAATATAGTTCAGTAAAATATTCTTCCCATAATCAGAAAACACATTTTCTATGATATCCTAGCTAGTAAAATATTCTTCCCATAACCAACGGATCAATGCTGTTGTTCTGTTTCCTCCTAGGTTCTTGAATTATTTCATTATCAAAACTTTATTCACCAAATAGCCTGTGCGAATATAGTTTTGATAACGAACAGGGCGATTCAGTTGATGATTAAATCTATCTTTTTCACCACACTATTTGATCTAGATTGTGTGCCAATTTGGCTGCTACGTACGGATTTTGGAATGCCTAGCTACGGCCATGCCAGTGTCAAGAAATCAGGTACTTCAAAGTTACCATGAATACTGTGCTATTAAATACTTCTAGATCGCCCAAACATTTGCCTTTTGTAACAGGTCATAAATTTATCCATGTTTTTTCTTCCAGATTTAGTTTGTGTATTCTTTGCAGAATCGTTTCCTTTCATACTGGAACTTCCTCATTTTGAAGCTATCATTGAGTTCCAAAAAAACCACTAAGGGTTATCCTACCTCTTTAACTCTCATGTTTTCCCTGTTGTCTAGCTTTTAGGACAGATTTGAACATAGAATTACTATTTTTGGCCACAGCTAAAATAGGTAACCAATAAAGGTATTACAAATTAAAATAAATCTAGCGTGTTATCTGAAGATGCTGACCCTATATGTGCATATATAAATGTCTTAAACATCTTTTGGTAATGTCTATGCTAACCTTTCCATTTTGCTTGAAATCAACTACGTAGATGGTGTCCTATTTTATGTTCTTCGAATAGAGACTGCTCCCAAAAAAAGGGTGCCTTATGTTTTACTTTTGTTTGCTAAATTGACGTATTCTTCATCTATCATTTAGCTAGATGTACTTTTTTGTAAGTACCACATTTCTCATTTGAATTGATGTCTTCCTGGTAGTATTCATTTCTAATTACGCTGATTGTACAGAGCAATCTGATCCCTCATGCTATTCAGTTCAGTTAGTTTGAGTAAACATAATCTTCATGCAGTGTGCTGCCTTACATCGCCGTACAGTTTAGTGCTCAGCCATGGAACATTTTCGTATTTATAATTGCTTTGCCACCTCACAATACGTCCTGGGTCACTTAACTTTTCACTCCTTTACAGGTGCTCTTCCAAGAATACAGAGACTGCTTTGCTTTTTACTGTTAAATCAACAACTGACGGCAAGCTGCCAGCCTGAAATCACCTACTCCTATATTATTTCAAGGCTTCGCTTAGATCTCTATCCAGTGTCCACAACAACAACAATAACATAGCCTTTCAGTCCCAAACAAGTTGGGGTAGGCTAGAGTTGAAACCCATCAAGAGCCCCAAGTCACGGTTCAGGCACTTCAATAGCTGCTTTCTAAGTACTCCTATTCAAACATAGATCTCTAGGTATATCCTAAGCTTTCAAATATCTTTTTATTGCCTCCCCTCATGTCAATTTCGGTCTTTCTCTACCTCTCCTCATATTATTAGCTTGGCTTAGGACTCCACAATGCACTGGTGCCTCTAGAAGTCTCCTTTGGACATGGCCAAACCACCTCAAACGAACTCGGTCCATTCTTGTGTGACCGCAAATCCATCGCAATATACACATTTCTGCAACACTCGGTTGTTGAACATGTCGAATCTTTATAGGCCAACATTCTGGCTGGTCTAATCGTCGTTCTATAGAACTTGCCTTTTAGCTTTTGTGGCACCTATGGTAATTAATGCGTCGCCTAGGCGACGCCTAAGCGTCCGAGCGGTTTTCCAAACGGGGCGTCGCGGTCGCTGCGGCCTCCTCACGTATGGCGTCGCCTCGCAGCAGAAGGTGTCGCCTAGTTGTCGTTTTCGCTGAGGCGGACGCTGCGGGACCGAGAAGGCGCGGGAAAGAGCGGCGCCACGTGCTCGCGCGGGAAAAGAGCGGGGTGATGCGCGCGCACGGGAAAAGAAGCTGTTGCGCGCGTACACCTCCCGCCAAAGCCTCCCCAATCCCCATCGCGTCAGTTGAGAGAGGGAAAGGAAGGAGAGAGGAAGAGATAAGAGGGCGGCGGCGCACTTGAAATCCAGCGCCGGCGCGAGAGCAGGCGACTGCCGCGCGGCAAGTCCGGCCCGTCCGCGTGACTCCGCCCCGTTCGCGACCGACCCCCGCTCCGTCCTCTACGAGCCGCGACCGACTCTGGCCCCGTCCGCAACCCCGACTGCGACTCTGCTCCGTGCGACTGGCAGGTATGTCCTCCCCTCCTCTTTCCTCTGCGGCTCTGCTCTTCCTCCCCCTCGTTCCCTTCCCATGCTCTGCTCCTTCCTGTACTCTGCTGCTCTACTTTGCTTTCTCTGCTCGGTTCCTTTCTCCTATTTATTCTATGTTAGAGTTTGATAGTTGGAATGGATAGTTCACAGGTGTGCTCCTTTCTGTCTGATGTGGTTGCCTAATTGCTGTGATTAATTAATATATGCTTGATTGTTTGTCTGTCTGATGTCTGAACTTTGCTGCATAAGAGGGGTTAATTTATTGATCTGTCATTGTTATATGTGCCTCTGATGCTCTGATTGTGAACATCAGTATAAAAATGCCTAATTGCCTATTAGTCTATTACATGTACTTGTACTGGTTGTCTGCTAGTATTTTTTTGATACTTGCCATCGCCAACTTGCTAATTTTCTACTGTCTAGTGTCTACTGACCTGTGTACTTTGAACTGCTAGATTACTGTCACTGCTTAGATTACATTACTGCAGGCTGCATCTAGTACTCAATCTCAGTTTTTAACTCAATCTCCTCAGTTTTTAACTACTCTTTTGGTTCTTTCTATGCAGCATAAGCCAACAGGAAAGATGGCAAGTCCACCTTCTGTCAACAATGAGAATTATGATCTTTAGGTAGACAAAGCAAGGAAGGCCAGCTCAAATGATCCAGGCTGGAAGTATGGATATTGGGCAGACCTTCAGAAGAGAGATCAGGTGACATGTACTCTTTGTGACACTATGGTTTGTGGAGGGATAAAAAGGTTGAAGCAGCGTCGGCAGGTGGATATTTGCTTGTGTGTTGCTAAATTTCCTTGCTTGTATCTAATGCAGCTTGCTGTTTGGGAGAAGAAAAGAATCATCAAAAGGTATTTCATTATCCATATTTAATCTGATTACAAAGTATTTCTGTTACATAATTATATTAACGAGTCACACATGTTGAAACTTGTTAGGGGCTGTATGGCACATAGAACAAGACAACTGGAAACAGGAGGATCACTGCTACATGGGCTCCAGAATTGGCAGCAAAAAGGTATGTATAAGTGTATGTTTGTGCTGTCCTATGGAAGGTTAGGGTATGTGTATGACGTCGTGTCGCCTCACGCCTAATTCGCTTAGGCGTCTAGAAGGGGGTGCGGCGCTGCACCTCGCCTTACCGCCTTAATAACCATGATGGTATCCTAGAGAACGCTAGAAGCTTGTCGCCACTTTCCAATTTCCATCCTTCTGTTTGTGCTTCAGTAACCATGTAGTCTGAACCTTTTATCATCTTTTTAAATGTCAATAGCTAAGATATATAGGCACCTAATAATATACTGCTACGACCGTCGGTTGCTACCTGTTCTCGCTTCTGTCCGCGCAATGGGGTATTGACTAATTCATCTATATCACTTCCACTCATTCTCAAGCAAAAGGGCCTCCCGATATTTTGGCAGCAGTAGCGAGTAGGCTTACGTACTACTAATGCAGCCAGCAGTAATGCTATCTTCGCATCGTCTTAAGAGTTTGGACTTTGAACTAGTAGAGTTTGAATTTTGAATCGAAAAACATCTCTACACTATGGGTGAATGGTGATTGTAAGCGAATCAATTGATTATGATTTATGGACGGTAAACAAACAGGCCATGGCCTATGCAAGGTTCCGTGCCTTTTTTACTATTCCGTTTCGTCTTCTGGTAGCTTTGGACAAGTGGAAATACCACTTGCAGGCCGTTTATCTGTCCGGACGCCCCTTCATGGAACCTGCATACCAGCCTAATAGACCTCTGCACAGCGCCTGCTCATTACGGTATTTGTGCTTCGCCTGACGGCGCACGGGCACCGTCACGCCCACACGTGGCGACCGCTCCCTCGGCTGCCAGCTAGCCACTGAGGCCACCGCGCAAGGAGAAGCGTCGGGCCCTAGCTCGGAAGCCCTCCGGCCTTGCCTTCTGCTACGGTTGCGGCGCCCCGACGTAGACGGTGAAGGAGGCCGCACCGAGATACGATACATGTTGCAAGTGTATATTTCAAATGTTTAGTGGTATGTTGCAAGAGTTTTATAAGAATGTTGCAAAAGTAGATCGGGATGTTGCACATGTTGCAATGGGTTATACACATGTTTCAAGTATATGTTCTAAATGTTTCGTCTGTTTTCAGACATATGTTGCAAGTGTTTTATTTGGATGTCGCAAAACTAGATCGGGATGTTGCATATATACGCAAGTGTTTCATCTTGATGTTTACAATGGCTACACACATGTTTTAAAGTTTTTTTCTGGTGTTTTGCAAGTATTTCAGTCGCATGTTGCAGTTATTTTATCTGGATGTTGTAAAAGTAGATCGGGTGTTGCACATATTACGATGTGCGTGAAAAGCGGAGGAGGCGCGAGCGGTCCTTGCGCGCGTGGTTAGGCAGCGTGGGCGTCATCCGGGCGGCGCGAGCCCCGCGTGGGTGATTAAAATGTAGGCTCGGGTGGGGGCGTGCTGGCTCAAGCGCGTGGAAACGGAGTGCAGCGTGGGTGTCTTGATATGGGACGCTAGCACTGCCGTTGGACTAGGGCCGCGTTTAGTTCCGGTCGGAAAATCAGCAGACATTGTAGCGCACTGTAGCATTTCGTTTGTATTTGGTAATAATTGTTCAAATATTGACTAATTAGGCTCAAAACGTTCGTTTCGTAAAGTACAATCAAAATGTACAATTAGTTTTTGATTTCGTCAACATTTAGTACTCGATACATGTACCGCAAGTTTGATGTGACGGAGATTCTTCTTTTTGCGTAGTGTCAGTTTGGAATTTGGTGAAACTAAATATATGGCCTAGGCGCAAAAGATTCGATCATCTCTGTTCACTACTTGTTTTGTCACGACTTTGCTTGGCGATTGATGCATTTTGCACTCACAGACTGTAGCTGCAACTACAAAGCCGCAGCGCAAGACCTAGCGCGGCGCGCGGCCACATGGCTCCCCGCGTGAGGAGTGACCAGTGAGCGGAGCGGAGCAAGGAAGTGCCTGCGGAAATGTTTTCCTTCGCGCGGCACCCCCACCACAAGGGGGAAAAAAACCATTGGTTGGCCAACCCCGCGCTGCCACCATGACGGGCCCAGGCGTAAGCGAGGGCGACGGTGTGGTCCTCCTCCCGCGCCTATCATCGGGTCGGGATCGGGAGGCGGCGCGGGGATCACATCCGATCCGATTGCTCTCGCCGGGGCGGTTCGCGCTGCCAGCTCGGATAGGGGGATTGAGAGAGAGTTCGCTCAGCCCGCGAAGGGAAGGGAAGGAAGGAAGCTGCCCACTGCCGTCCCCAGTCCGGTGGTTATAAGAGACGCCTCTCCGGCCCACTTTCCCCCTTCTTTCTCTTCCACTTCCCAACCACTCCCTCCGCGTCGATCGATCCGTCTCGTACTCGTCTGGGAGGCAGCTCGACGAGAGAGGGCGCCAAGAAAGGGGACGGTTCGCGGGCAAGCAGAGCAGGAGCTGACGCGGCGGCGGCGAGACGCCGGGGAGGCATGGACGGGCACGGCGGCGGGGGCGGTAAGCTGACGCGGACGCCGTCGTCGCTGCTCCGGTCGCCGACCGTCCGCGCGGGCCCCGGCGCCGCGTCCTTCCACGCGCTGGACGACCCGGAGCCCGACGACAAGAAGGCGCAGGCGCCGCTGCTGGGCAAGCCCCGGGCGCTGCTCCGCCGGGCCCACCACCGGCTCCGCCCCGGCCCGGCGCAGTCCGCGCTGCTCCTGCTCCTCCTCCCCGTCCTCGCGCTCGCTGCGCTACTCCTGCGCGGCGGGGGCCACCACCTCGCCCTCCTGGTGGCCGCGGCCGGGTTCGCGCTCGCCGCTGCGGCCGCCGTCGCGCGGCGGACCCGCGGCGCCCGGGGCCCGCGCGCGCCCCCGGCGCTCGCGGCCTCCGTGCAGTGGTTCATCGGCGAGGGCGACGGCGAGGAGCAGCAGCTGCGGGAGCGGGACAAGAAGGGGAGGCCGGGCGCGGAGGTGCGGGAGGGCGTCGAGTTCTACAGCAACGGGGACCGCTACGAGGGGGAGTTCCACGGGGGCCGCTGCAGCGGCAGCGGCGTGTACAGCTTCTTCGGCAAGGGCAAGTACGAGGGCGACTGGGTGGACGGCAAGTACGACGGCCACGGCGTCGAGAGCTGGGCGCGCGGCAGCCGGTACCGCGGCCAGTACCGGCAGGGTCTCCGCCACGGCCACGGCGTCTACCGGTTCTACAGCGGCGACTGCTATGCCGGCGAGTGGGCCGCCGGCCAGAGCCACGGCATCGGCGCCCAGACCTGCTCCGACGGCAGCACGTACGCCGGTGAGTTCAAGGGCGGCGTCAAGCACGGCCTCGGCTGCTACCATTTCAGGTGAACGACGTAACATTGCTTGCAGATGTCCCATCTTTTGGTGCCCAATCAAATCGATGCCATTGCATTGTTGCGAACTGTTTCATTCCTAATTCTTGTTCTGTCAACAAAATCCATCCTCTGCAGGAATGGCGATCGGTATGCAGGGGAGTACTTTGCAGACAAGATCCACGGTTTTGGTGTGTACAGCTTCGCCAATGGACACAGCTACGAGGGCTCTTGGCACGAAGGAAAGAAACAGGGGTTCGGGATGTACGCGTTTCGGAATGGGGATGAACGAGCGGGGGAGTGGGATTCTGGAGTTCTGAAGAACTCCTTGCCTCTGTCAGACCCAGCTGTTCAGCGTGCTCTACAGGTATTCAACCATTCCCCATGTGTACAAGTACACATTGATAATTGAGGCCCTGTTCAGATCCCACCCAAAATCTAAATTTTTTTAAGATTTTCCGTCACATCAAATCTTGCGGCACATGTATGGAGCATTAAATGTAGGTAAAAAGAATAACTAATTGCACAGTTTGCCCGTAATTGACGAGACGAATCTTTTAAACCTAAATAGTCCATAATTAGACAATTTTTACCAAATACAAACGAAAGTGCTACAGTAGCCAAAAGCCCAAAAAAAAATCCGCATCTAAACAGGGCCTGATGCGCCTCGTTGCTTCAGGAACTCACATTGTTTGTTTCATTGTGCAACTAGGCTGCTCGAAGGGCTGCAGACTGCGCCTTCCACCTCCCAAGAGTAGAAGAGCAGGTGAACAAGGCCGTCATGGCTGCAAACAGAGCGGCCACAGCTGCCCGTGTCGCCGCGATCAAGGCAGTGCAGAATAGGATAGATGGCAAGCTCTGTTTCATCGACGTGTGAAGTGAGTTCCAAGAACCGTGCCCTTCACTTGGAAACTGTATATTAGAGTAGCCAAGAGCGGCAATAACTAGTTGCTGAGGTTCGCGACCGGAGCAGCACAACCGCATGCTCCGTGTTGGAGAGATCAATCAGTATGGTTGGGCGGCAGCCACCAAAGGGCTGAGCTGCTGCTGTTTTCATCAAGAGGCTGTTCACGTCATGCTGGAATGGATCGCTGAGAGCAAGGCCACCCTGTTCTGTTCCTCTTCCTCCTTGTGCAGACTGTAAAGTTGTAGATAGCTCCATGCCCTCCATTCATCCATGTGTATCAATGGTGGTCGGTGGAGATGATCTATCTGTCAGTGCCTTTCTATTTTTTGCTGCGCCCTGTACTGTAAGTGCATTGTACATGTACTACTGTGGTCTCTTGCTCGGATCAAATGTTCTTCCAGTGGCAAATCTTGCCGGTTTGAACTTGTGGCGCCATGTGCAGGGATTCTCCATTTGTTAATCGTACTTGAGGATGCACATGGGTGATTATAATCTCTTCTGGCACCACTAGCCCCTTTGCTGCCATATCATGCAGCCTCTGATCTGCTGATCCATCCCCTGCACCTGGGCTACCTGCATCTTTTTGGACATTTTCTCAATATCTCCGCAGAGATTGACATCTTTGGGTCCACTTGCTGCTCCAAGTTCTTGTACTAGAGGCATGAATAAATGAAACCTGCAAATGTTTGAGGTAACAAATGCGTTGCTGTACACTGGGTCCAGTCACAGCCTTTCAATTTCATCGAGTCGGGAGAGCAAGTGCATGAGTGAAAATTTGTGTGGCGTCAGTAAATTCAACAGCCAACCGTTCTTTTCCAGGTTCCAGTTCCACTACTGGGAAATCTTCCTTTTGCCGTGCACTGATAGTGATAGGACAGAAGTCCCAACAATTTCGGCCTGGACGCTTGTTCTTGTCGAGGTTCTTGGTGTGGTGACATGGTAAATTGGGCACCAACCAAATGTTTTTGGCATGTTAAAATGTTCAGTACCATAAGCGAAGCTCGTGCCTTCATCATGGCCCAGAAGTTCTAGGTAGAATTTTGCCTTAAGTAGATAAGAAAGTTCAGCAATGGCCCAGAAGCTCGTGCCTTCATCATGGCCCAGAAAGTTCAGCCATGATTAGCCATAAGTGCTACAGTAACCAACATGCGCTAATGATGGATTAATTAGGCTTAATAAATTCGTCTTGCAGTTTCTAGACGAGCTATATAATTAGTTTTTTTATTAGTATCCGAAAACCCCTTTCGACATCCCCGAAACATCCGATGTGACATCAAAAAATTTCGCTGAGAATCAGTTCACCCAGTACAACAATTGACGTCGTAATAGACACGGTGGAGTTGAAGTTGACGCTCTAATTTGCTGCTTGTGTCCCATTGTGGATGGCTCTTGTAGGTTTTCATTCGCTTGGTTGGATAAGCGTACTCCTCCTGAATTTTTTTTTGACCTGAAGCTCTTTTTTTGGGGAGTCGCCTGTCAACGTCTTCATCTCTTTCGAGACAGGTGATGAAAATTGTCTGTTTGTGTTGAACTTGAATGCTACGAGATCTTCCATTGTGGAAATGATCTTCTAATGCTGTTTGCTCTGACCTTGTCGCAATTCACAACACCTTGCCGTGCCATCGTATCTTCTCGTGAGCACGACATGCTTAGTACTCCAAAACAACGCATGTTTTCCGTCAATTTCATCTGTTTCTGCCCCTTTCGCAGCATCGACAGATCGACTTGCCGTGCTACAGTGCTACTGATGCTTGTGCGCATGGCAAGCTGCTGCTCTGCGCTCTGCATCTCTGGTTTTCCGCTGCCTCCTGCGAGCAAAAAGGTGCGCGCACCGAGATGGTGCCGATGTTTTGTCCAATCCAATCACCATATACTGCATGGAAACTGAAAAGAACTAGACACGCTTGGCGAGTCCAGTATCACAAAAATGGTTATGTCTGCAGGCAGCAGCACACGAGCCACTGCAGGCCAAACTGGGCGTGACGCCGGCATGGCTTTGTCGAGCTAATCTATTATATAAGGAAAAAGTCTCGTACTTTGACGTGTCCAGCCGGCGTGCTTGTTTTTTTTTTTTTCCAAAATATAAACTTGCAGCGATAAAAGAAGAGGCCCATGCCCATCACGGTGACATGGCGATTGCAGGATAAAGCAAGCCCTGGGAAGGCGTCGTCTCAAGAGGGGGGATAAGCACCGGGCGATCACTCGTGGCACCGGCAGCCGGCTTCCGTTGATACGTCGCGTCCCCGGGCCGAATCCTTCCACTTCAATTTTGTTTGTTTTCATATTCCTCTCCACTCTTGCGCGAGAAGCTACTGACGCAGTGCCGCCATTAGACTCGTTCCCCCTGCTTGCTTATTCAACGCCGTCGCTGTTGGACCAGGTTGCTGCCTCTGCCCATGGTGACCAACGTGTTGTTAAATGCCCCCAAAGTTGAGCCAACGTGCCAAAGTTGAGTTCTTCACGCGTGTGTTTGCTTCGTGTTTAAGACTTGGCCTGGCTAGCCAATTAGGCTAGAATATCTCTAGCTAGCCTGGCTCCCACAATGTAAGAGGTTATTGTATGTACTAGTGAAGCCTGGCTTGTCTAGATCTTGTTTAGTTACTTGCTAAGACCCACACATTGTGGGAATTTAACAACCAGTGGGGGCATTTAACAACACGTGATGAGGGAAGGTGATTTGAGCTAAAAGCCACCTTCGTGCCCATCCCCATCCGATGGGGCTACGACCAGTGGGGGCAGAGGCACGGTAACCGGCGCGAGTGATGTGCGGGTTCAGGTAGGGTGTGGAGGTGGCGAGGCGCGGTGGCGCTCGAGTGGGGAAAAGATGGAGGACCTGCGGTGGTGGTCGAGGGAGATGCGAGCGCGGAGGTGAGGGGAGCACTGGCGCAAGCCTGGCTAGGCGGAAACGCCCACCCCTCCGTTTCCACCAAGCCTGGCTCCGTGGAGCCTGGACACGGAACCAAACAACCCCTATCAATGCAGGATAGTTTGGTGATGATGATGAGAGTTGAGGAAAAGAATACAGGATTCCATACCGTCCATAGTGCTGCTAGTTTATCACCTTGGCTGCAATATCATTGTGAACCACAAACCTGAATTTGCATTCTAGGACGGTTCAGGCGCTAAGCATCTTGTAGACCTCCTAGGACGCTTGCAAGAAGCACATTATTTGTATGGTTAAAATCTTCTATTTAATTACAATGATGTACTAATCTTTTGAGTATTCGAGAGAAAATGTAGATTTTTTCCTACGGAATGTAATATAGATCTTCTTTTGAAAGATTATCACGGCTGTGTTTGTAGGGGGAGAAAAACTTTTTTCCTTCGAGGGCTTTAATTCAACACTCGAAAAGGCAGTCATAAACTAAGTCTTAGTTGGTCCAAGTGATTTGCCGGTCAAACTAAAACACTACCAAACGTTTCTTCTGCTGTTCTGCTTTCATCATCCATCTACTGACTGAACCCAGCACAAGAAAATTTGAAGGAGACCTGAATAATGGATTGTGATCTGCGTAAACCCTCACGGCCACGGGATGAACTGATAGACTCCGCTGAGTCAGGTATATGACGAACGGCTTTTTTGTAATAAATAGCAAAAACACCGTGCCAGATGCGCCCAGCCGCATAGTTACATAGTTCAAAATTTCCAACTGTTGGAGTCTGTTTCTACCAAATCCGTGATGTGGCACACGGATGAAAAGGGGCTCCATGCATGCAATGCTTCCGTTTTGGAGGTCACGAAGGAACAAAGTTGTTACATTTTCAGGGTCAAACCAGTCCACGAGGAATACACCGACGCGCCTTTTCCATGACAGGTTGCTCAGGGGAGAAATGCTTTTACCATGACACACATCCACTGCTTTGTAGAATTGTATAGTTGGTACACATGACAACTATTACTAGCAATCATCCAGATTTTCAAGATGAATTGAAACATATTGCATGATTGTTGAATAATATGTGAGCCACAAATCATCTAGATGATAACATAATAATTAAGTTATAGTCATGTTATAACACGCGGGTATGCTTTATATATTATATAAGTAAGAATTTATTATAAAGATTAAAGCGTTTCTTTCAACTTGTTTTTTGTTTCTTTTTGTCCTGTTTTTTAACTTTCCAAACCTGATCTTGTACCCACTGTACCTCGTATGTGATCTAGATTCATGTTCAGCGATATGTATAAGGTTCTGTGCAACACACATGCATATTTGCTAGTAATAAATAATTAAAATTCAGTCTCTTTTGGTCCATAGCCAAGTCAAAATTTGGACAACCATTTTCACCATTCGAAGTTTTGACCGAGTGCGCTATAGGAAAATTTGGCGACGCCAAATTTCCAAAGTACAACCGACATTTATTTTGGGACACTAAATTTCCTAGGTACAACCAAAAATTGTCTTGGCGTTGGAGCCTAGAATCAAACGTCACCTGACCATTGTGTGGATCTCCTGGTACTCGAATTCACATTGAGGCAGGGTGACTGCAATCCTGTACTTATAAGTTGCTCATGTTAATTATTGACTCTGTCTATGTCCATAGATTCTTTTGTCAAATCAAACTACAAACAATTCAATAAGAAAAGCAAGTGAGAACATTACGAACATCAAAGTGGGGCTACCACCCTACACATATGACATCTGCATCAATAGCACTGTTCTGAGTGTGATACTTAAAACAAGGGTTACACATGAAGGATGGTTCAAGGTTCTTTATAGAGGCTACAAAATAGACAAAACGATGTGAAGGAAAACGCACGCCAACCCCTAAAAAGCTTGTATTGGTGGTCTATGGCTATGGGTGGGTAGGCAGCATCCACAGTGCCTGGTCACACGCCGGAGCTTCATCGAAGTCCTGCACCTTGGCCGCCGATGGTTCTCTCAAGTTGAATATCATCAAGCGTTTGTTCCATGGATAGAGCACATAAAGGCAATTCCGCTGCAGCCCGCACTCGTCCGCCGAGCGAG